GGGAGCGGCCACTGCACTCCAGTCTGGGCGACAGAGTGAGACTCCAACTCAAAAAAAAAAAAAAAAAATTGGGGAGGCTGAGGTGAGTGAATTGCCTGAGCCTGTGGGTTCGAGACCCGCCTGGGCAGCGAGACCTCATCTCTACAATAAATAAAAAAAATTAGCTGGGTGTGGTAGCGTGCACCTGTAGTTCCAGCTACCAGGAAGGCTGAGGCGCAAGGATCGCCAGAGCCCAGCCGGTCGAGGCTGCGGTGGCTGGGAGCAGCCACTGCACTCCAGTCTGGGCAACAGAGTGAGACTCCAACTCAAAAAAAAAAGATTGGCTGGGCCATGTATATGTTGGTGTGTGTGTGTGTAGAATGGCAAAAGTATCTCTGTCCCCTCAGACCTCTTCTGCGTATGATAAATCATAGCACAACATTTTGATCCTCTGGCATCTTAAGCCAGAGTCTTTTATTCTTTTTTTAAAGTTTTATGTATGTATTTCTGTATTTGCTCAACCCTAGAATCAGTAAATTGTCTTTATTATTTATTTTTGAGTTGGAGTCTCATTATGTTGCCCAGGCTGGAGCGCAGTGTCACACTCACGGCCTCCATAGCCTCGACCTGCTGGACTCAGGCAATCCTTCCACTTCAGCCTTCCAAGTAGCTAGAACTATAGGCATACACCATCACGCCTGGCAAAATATTTTCTTTATTTTATTGTAGAGATGAGGTCTCACCATGTTGCCCAGGCTGGTCTCAAACCTGTGGGCTCAGGTAATCCTCTTGCCTCTGCCTCCCAAAGTGCTGAGTTAACAGATGTCAGCCACCATGCCTGGCTCAGAGTCTTTTTTTCTTAGGTGGTGTTCCATCTGGGTACCTTTGAGAGTGTGGAGATGGTCTCATAAAAACGGTGAGTTTTTGCTCTAGTTTTCTGGTTAATACTGAATTTATTTATCTCCTTTTAGCTGTGCGGTCAGAGAAGAAACGTCTTAGGAAGCCAAGCAAGTGGCTTTTGGAATATACAGAAGAATATGATCAGATATTTGCTCCTAAGAAAAAACAAAAGAAGGTACAGGAGCAGGTGCACAAGGTTTGTTCCAACATTTTGACAAACTTTAATTGGTCCTCTTAGGAAACTGCAATTTTGCCTTTGATAACCATATTTTCTCTTCATGAAACAATAATTCCTTAATTGAGATCTTGTTTTTTATCCTCAGCTTCTGGTACATACCTAATATATAGTAGTTATTTAGGAAATATATAAACAAGTCTATATATTATATGTCTGGGTATATATATTTTTCCCTCTTTTTTTTCAAACATTATGACTTTGGAATATTATTATGATATTATATTAAGTAAAAAACACAGGATATAATATAAAATAAAATATACACGGTCTGATCCTGATTTAAAAATAAGTATGATATCTTTTGAATTTTTAAATTATTTTATTTTATTTTAGTACTTTGGGGGATACTAATAACTTTTACTCTGGGCTTTAAGGCTACCCACCACCCCCACTTGTGCACATTATACCCAATAGGTGATTTTTATTTTGGTCTGTCCACTTCTTCCCCTTCTGAACCTCCAGTGTCCATTATACCATTCTCTTTGTCTTTACATATCCTCAGTTTAGCCCCCACATGTGAGAACGTGTGTTTGGTTTTCCTTTGGAATGATGGTCTCCAATTCCATTTACGTTGCTGCAAAAGACATTATTTCATTCTTTTTGATAGCTGTGTAGTATTCCATAGTGTATATATATCGCTTTCTTTCTTTTTTTTTTTTTTATTTGGAATCTCACTCTGTCGCCCAGGCTGGAGTGCAGTGTTATGCTGCTCATGGCCACCGCAACCTCGATCTGCTTGGCTCAGGCGATCCTCCTGCCTCAGCCTTCCAAGTAGCTAGAACTACAGGTGTGTGCCACCATGCCCGGCTACATTTTTGATTTATTGTAGAGATGAGGTCTTTCCATATTGTCCAGGCTGCTCTCGAACCCGTGGGTTCAGGCATTCCTCTCACCTTGGCCTCCCAAAGTGCTGGGATTATAAGTATGCTCACTGTGCCCGGCCTTATATACCACATTTTTATTATCCACTAATAGGTTGATGGACATTTTAAGTTGATTCCATGTCTTTGCAGTTGTGACTTGTACTAAAATAAACATGTGGTGCAGGTGTCTTTGTTATATAACAGCCTCTGTTCCTTAGGGTAGATACCTAGTAGTGAGATTGCTGAATCAAATGGTAGATCTACTTTTAGTTCTCTGAGTAATCTCTATATACTTTTCATAGATGTTGTACTAATTTACACTCCCACTAACAGTGTATACCCATTCCCTTTTCTCTGCATCGGTGCCAGCATGTGTTGTTTTTTGATTGTTTGTTCATTTTTGAGTGAGAGTCTCATTCGGTCACCCAGGCTGGATTGTAGTAACATGATCAAAGGCCACCGCAACCTCCACCTGTTGGGCTCAGGCGATCCTTTCTTTTTTTTTTTTTTTTAAGAACATAGTTTATTTAGAAAGTAAATTAGAGAGGGAGGGAGGGAGGGAGGGAAGATTCACCTCCCCAAGGTAGAGGAGGGAGGCCGAAGCTAGGAAATATGGTGGCCTGGCTGCAGCTCAATGAGTGCGTGGTCTGGCCAGTGTTTAGCAAGGCAGTGGCCTCAGGCGATCCTTTCACCTCAGCCTTCCAAGTAGCTGCAACTACAGGAATGCTCTGCAATGTCTGGCTAATTTTTTGATTTATTGTAGAGACGTGTTCTTACCTTGTTGCCCAGCTTGATCTCGAACCCGTGGGCTCAGGCATCCCTCTCACCTTGACCTCCCACAGTGCTCGGATTATATGTGTGAGCCACTGGGCTGGCTGTTTTTTTGATTTTTTTTAATAATGTCCATTCTGACTGATGTAAGGTGGTATCTCGTGATTTTGTGCATTTCCCTGATGATGAGTGGTGTTGAGCCTTTTTTCATATGTTTGTTGGCCATTTGTATATCTTTTGAGAGATGACTGTTCATGTCATTTGCCCACTTTTTAATGGGCTTATTTCTTACCAGTTTGTTTGAGTTCATGGTAGATTCTGGATATTAGTTCTTTTTCAGATGTATAATTTATGACTATCTTCTCCCACTCTGTAGATTTTCTGTTGGCTATTGATTGTTTTGTTTTGTTGCTGTACAGAAGCTTTTTAGTTTAATTAAATCCCATTTGTTTATTTTTGTTTTAGTTGCACTTGCTTTTGGGGTTTTAGTCATAAATTATTTGCCTAGGCCGATGTCCATAAGAGTTTTTCCTAGGTTTTTTTAAAGGTTTTTTATGGGTTCATGTCTGATATTTATGTCTTTAATCCATCTTGGATTATTATTTTTTTTTTTTGAGTTGGAGTCTCACTCTGTTGCCCAGATTGGAGTGCAGTGACACGCTCCTGGCCACTGCTCCCTCAATCTGCTGGGCTCCAGTGATCCTTCTGCCTCAGCCTGCCAAGTAGCTGGAACTACAGGCGCGTGCTACCATGCCCGGCTAATTTTTGATTTATTGTAGAGATGAGGTCTCACCAAGTTGTCTAGGAAGGTCT